CCCCCCCGGTGTGAGGCTGCTGACTCCCAGCCTGTGCGTGTTGGTAGCCAGCCCCCACGCAGTCGTTAACCAGTTAAATACTGAAATGGGATTTGACAGCCCTGGGAGCAGTAGTTCCACAGGCTGCCCACAGAAACCTGCCTTGCTGTGTCAGCCGGTGTCTGCCCTGCACAAGCCGTGCCAGGAGACGCGGGCTGGACATCACACCAGTGCTAGGGAGGGCCGGCCAGGGAGCGTCAGAGAGGCCCCAGGAAGTGGGGAGCAGAGGGAGCCCAAGGCAGAAAGGGGATCTCGGCAGGAGACAGCAGAGGAGTTCGACCTGGCTGGGACAGGAGAGGGCAGCCGGCGCTTGCTGGAGGGTGACTGACATGTGGGAGGCCACCTGGCTGGGAGGGAATGAATGTAGAAAGCCATGTGAAGAGAGACCACTGGAGGAGGGGGCGCTAGATGGAACACAGCCAAGGGGGGGCCAGCGGGGTTGATCTGCAACACGCCCTGTTCAATGTGGGGTGGGGCACAGGGCTGGGCTATCAAGGGTTGCGGGGCGGGAGTGGGGGGCACTGGCAGGGCTCGGCTGTCAGGGGCTGTGGGGCGGGAGTGAGGGGCACTGGGGGGGCTCGGCTGTCAGGGGCTGTGGGGCGGGAGTGAGGGGCACTGGGGGGGCTCGGCTGTCAGGGGCTGTGGGGCGGGAGTGAGGGGCACTGGGGGGGCTCGGCTGTCAGGGGCTGTGGGGCGGGAGTGAGGGGCACTGGGGGGGCTCGGCTGTCAGGGGCTGTGGGGCGGGAGTGAGGGGCACTGGGGGGGCTCGGCTGTCAGGGGCTGTGGGGCGGGAGTGAGGGGCACTGGGGGGGCTCGGCTGTCAGGGGCTGTGGGGCGGGAGTGAGGGGCACTGGGGGGGCTCGGCTGTCAGGGGCTGTGGGGCGGGAGTGAGGGGCACTGGGGGGGCTCGGCTGTCAGGGGCTGTGGGGCGGGAGTGAGGGGCACTGGGGGGGCTCGGCTGTCAGGGGCTGTGGGGCGGGAGTGAGGGGCACTGGGGGGGCTCGGCTGTCAGGGGCTGTGGGGCGGGAGTGAGGGGCACTGGGGGGGCTCGGCTGTCAGGGGCTGTGGGGCGGGAGTGAGGGGCACTGGGGGGGCTCGGCTGTCAGGGGCTGTGGGGCGGGAGTGAGGGGCACTGGGGGGGCTCGGCTGTCAGGGGCTGTGGGGCGGGAGTGAGGGGCACTGGGGGGGCTCGGCTGTCAGGGGCTGTGGGGCGGGAGTGAGGGGCACTGGGGGGGCTCGGCTGTCAGGGGCTGTGGGGCGGGAGTGAGGGGCACTGGGGGGGCTCGGCTGTCAGGGGCTGTGGGGCGGGAGTGAGGGGCACTGGGGGGGCTCGGCTGTCAGGGGCTGTGGGGCGGGAGTGAGGGGCACTGGGGGGGCTCGGCTGTCAGGGGCTGTGGGGCGGGAGTGAGGGGCACTGGGGGGGCTCGGCTGTCAGGGGCTGTGGGGCGGGAGTGAGGGGCACTGGGGGGGCTCGGCTGTCAGGGGCTGTGGGGCGGGAGTGAGGGGCACTGGGGGGGCTCGGCTGTCAGGGGCTGTGGGGCGGGAGTGAGGGGCACTGGGGGGGCTCGGCTGTCAGGGGCTGTGGGGCGGGAGTGAGGGGCACTGGGGGGGCTCGGCTGTCAGGGGCTGTGGGGCGGGAGTGAGGGGCACTGGGGGGGCTCGGCTGTCAGGGGCTGTGGGGCGGGAGTGGGGGGCACTGGCAGGGCTGGGCTGGCAGGGGCTGCGGGTCAGGTTGTTTAATTCCTTATACGGGGTCCCCCTCACTCCTGCCATCCCTGCCTACACTTGAGCCATCTGGGGACTCCGGTGTTGCTGCTGCCCCGCGTCGGGCACGGTCCGTGCATCGTTCTGTTGCCTCAGTACGTGCTGGGGGCGGAGCGTCTGCATTGCCAACAGCCCGGGAGACTCCCCCAGGTCCACAGAGCCTCCCCCTTGTGTGGCCCCAGCCAGTCCGCACACTGCACGGACATGGCCAGGAGAGGGCATCAGACACCAGAACAACACCCAGAGGTGTGCTGGTGCCCCTCACTCCAAACCCGCATTCCCTAGGATAGCAGGGCCTGTGGGTTACGGTTCAGGGGCATGGGTAGGGCTGGGGGGCAGGGCTGGGCTGGCAGGGGCTGTGGGGCGGGAGTGGGGGGCACCGGCAGGGCTGGGCTGGCAGGGGCTGTGGGGCGGGAGTGGGGGGCACCGGCAGGGCTGGGCTGGCAGGGGCTGTGGGGCGGGAGTGGGGGGCACCGGCAGGGCTGGGCTGGCAGGGGCTGTGGGGCGGGAGTGGGGGGCACCGGCAGGGCTGGGCTGGCAGGGGCTGTGGGGCGGGAGTGGGGGGCACCGGCAGGGCTGGGCTGGCAGGGGCTGTGGGGCGGGAGTGGGGGGCACCGGCAGGGCTGGGCTGGCAGGGGCTGTGGGGCGGGAGTGGGGGGCACCGGCAGGGCTGGGCTGGCAGGGGCTGTGGGGCGGGAGTGGGGGGCACCGGCAGGGCTGGGCTGGCAGGGGCTGTGGGGCGGGAGTGGGGGGCACCGGCAGGGCTGGGCTGGCAGGGGCTGTGGGGCGGGAGTGGGGGGCACCGGCAGGGCTGGGCTGGCAGGGGCTGTGGGGCGGGAGTGGGGGGCACCGGCAGGGCTGGGCTGGCAGGGGCTGTGGGGCGGGAGTGGGGGGCACCGGCAGGGCTGGGCTGGCAGGGGCTGTGGGGCGGGAGTGGGGGGCACTGACGGCTCTGGGCTGCAGTTTGGGAGCCCTTGGCTGGGCTCACTGGGGGCCATCGGCTGCAGTTTCGCACCTTGGCCACACGGTGGCAGTGGGCACCCCTGCAGCTGTGCTGGGGGAGGCGGTGGGATACCTGATCCCAGGTGAGAGCCCAGACTGCTCTGTTCCCAGGTGCCCCGTCTCCCAGCCAACTGTTCCCCTGGCAACGGGGTCCTATCTCCCAGCTGAATCGGCTTGGGCCATGGTCACACATAGCAACGACCTAGAAAAGCAGCCACCCTTGGCAGTTTCCCTTTCTCTCCTATGCCGGGGTTTGGGGAGGCGGTGGGATACCTGATCCCAGGTGAGAGCCCAGACTGCTCTGTTCCCAGGTGCCCCGTCTCCCAGCCAACTGTTCCCCTGGCAACGGGGTCCTATCTCCCAGCTGAATCGGCTTGGGCCATGGTCACACATAGCAACGACCTAGAAAAGCAGCCACCCTTGGCAGTTTCCCTTTCTCTCCTATGCCGGGGTTTGGCAGTTTGTCCCCTCCCCCCCCCCTCGGCCCCAGCCAGTCTCCCCCTGGGGCCCCGTGTTTGCTCCATGGCTGGTTTCTTATCAGCAGGGCTGAGCTGTGTGTGCTCAGCTCCCCCTTTTCTGCCCAGGGTCCTGGCCGGTTGCTAAAGGGACCCAGGAATCCCGTTAGCCAGCCCACCCCTGAGCACAGGGCCCAGCGTGGGGTTAGAAGGGCTGAGCGGCCCCTCCCCAGAGCCAGCCCCCTGCAGCAGCCCAGCATGTGGTGGAATACCGCCCTTTCCCATGGAACAAGAGGCTGGCCATTCGCCCCCTCCCCCGCATGGGAGCAGGCAGCCTCTAGGCACAAGCCAAAGGAATAATTGTTCTTTCCCCAGCCCCCTCCTGCCTGGGTTGCCATGGAGGGCCTAGTGCCTTCCCACACCTCCCCCGTCCCGCCCCCTCACCTGTGGAGGCCTCATATACCCCCGCCCCTGCCCCCCCCGCTCCCA